CCTGTGAAACACTTTCTGCCCCTCAAAAGTATGTTTTCTGAGCAAGAATCAACGCATTTTTGCAAATTCCAAATTGCACAATCTGTGCTCTCCCCCACCTTCCCCCCTAGACAAAGAGTTTAGAAACTCTACAGAAACTCTTCAGTAAATGTTGGTTATAGAGAAAGTTGCTGAATTTTTTTCTACATGGAGATGAAATAAACAAAGATTTACATCCCTAGTTTTAATGTTTCATTTTTTATTCATTTCATATTTATTTTTTAATTTTGTCTGTACTAATTAAATGCCATTTGAAATAATTGACTGCAAGCCACCTTGTGACCATTAACAGGAAAAAGAAAAAACAAACTGAATTAATACCATTTAAATAAGTGAGTGAATACCATTCCCATTTTCAAACTAAAGAACATAATAAGGCAGCATTACCATTCATCCAATCTTTCAGAGGCAGTGCTGCATATTTGTGAAAAGGAAGAGAAATGGAAGACAAGTTTCTATATCTCAAACAAGCTTAGAAGGGAGGATCATACAAACTGAGACACTGCATAACTGAATTATCAAGCAGAAGTTCTTAAGGCATGCTGATAGCACTGCATCCAGGCTGAATGAATAAGACTGTGTACACAGCAACCATATATACAATCCATATGTACAATAAAGGGTACGATTTGGGTCCGTAATTATAGATTTTGATGAAACCTGTAGATGTTGAGAGTAAAACCTTCTCACAACCTCTGAGGATGCCTGCCTGGAGAGAAGACTGTATAGCCTGGAAAACTCACAGCAACCGACAGATTGCAATGAAATCCTTTGACAACACATAAAACTTTGTAGTTTGACACAAGGCTCCTCGGATTCATTTCAGAGATGATTCAAGGGGCCAGTCAAACCTTGGATGCCACCATTTTTCTGCCCAGGCCTTGCTAAAGGCCACAGGAGACACTAAAGGGCATTGGTGCTTCTTTGAGATTCAACGTGGAGGGGCAAACATGTTGAGTGGTGAATTTGGTTCATTCATGGAGAATCTAAAAGAAGTCAAAGCCTCACTTCATTCTCACCACCCCAGCAGAAACACACCGAAGTGCTGCCACGTCAGTGGAAAGAGCAGAAGGGATTGAGGGTTTTTCAGCTTCTCCCAATCTCCTCCTCTCTCCCCACCCAGCAGAGAAGCACCAAAAGAGCTGCTGTTACAGCACAAGAAACAAAATCAGTGAGAGTTTTTTTCCCCATTTTCATTCTCATGCCAGCAGCAAAGCACCAAGGGCACTGCCACCATGATAGAGCGGATGAGGTATTTCTTCACTTTCTCCCAACACCTTCTAATCTCCCTGCCCTAGCAAAGTGTCATGACAGAGAGAGCAGAATGAGTGGCTCTACTTGGCAGAGAAGCACCAAAATTGCTCATGCTGTGGCAGAAAGAACAGAAAGGATGGAGGATTTTTTCAGCTTCTCAAAACCTTTTCCATTCTCCCTGTCCTGGCAGAGATGCAAAAAAAAAAGCCAGCACAACAGTAGAGAGCATGTGTAGGGGATTTGGGCTTCTTTCAGGCTCCCCCAATGGACTTTGACAAGAACTTAAGTCCATTCTGGGGAGCCTAAAAGAAGTACCAATCCCCTCTGTTTTCTCTGACGTAGTGAGGAAGTGCCAAAGACACACCAATGCAATTTTTTCAAGCAGACACTATAAAAGACTAGAAACAGCACCATGCTGGTCAAAGGTATTACACTGATCCACGTGTAAGCCAACCCAATTTGGGGGGGGGGGGGTGTCAATTTTTGGCATATATTTTTTAGACCCATACATGGGTATATCCTAGAGTGGACTTCATTAAACATTATTTAAGCATTAATTAATCTTGCCACATTAACAAAACGAGGGTGAAATTCAGCTTGGTTTACTTTTCCTTCAAAATCTATACAGACAAACCATCCCCTCAAGCTATATGTTACCAAGACAGGCATTCTATGCTCAGCTACACTCGTGGGACAGCAAATTCCCAGAAGTTGCTTCAATTCTTCCCAGCAGGATCAATGTCTATTATGTGACTGTGATAAAAGCAAACACTGCCAGACAAATGACAAAGGATTCACATGAACATGCCAATTGCAAAGAAATTATTTCCAAGCCAAAAAAGAAAACAATCAGTATCTTTTTCCTGGCAGCCATGTACCAGTTGCAAGTTAAACATTGTATTATTCGAATTAATCATTCCAAGTCTGAGAAGGAGGAGGGAAACGTCGGGATAACCTTGGTGGCAAGTCGCATTTTCAGATCTTGTATACATTAAATATTACACAAGTAGCTGATTTGCATGTCTGCCTACCACCTTGGTATCTGGACTTAAGGGGGAGAATACACACACACACACACACACACACGCACACACACACGCACACATATATGCACACACACATTCCTGTATGTATGTTTCCCAGGCATCAATTATCTGGAATATGCCGCTTCTAGTGAGTATGAAAATACCAGCTTTTCAGTTTACACCACACCTCTTAAAGCAAAATTCATAGCTGTCAATCCCCTCTTAAATGCATGTGGCATTCCGCTAGTGTTTGCTAAACTCTCCACAGGCACGCATGTAGCCAGCAGAGTTAGTGAACTGAAGCATTGTCACAGAGAATTGCAGCTGAACAAAGGAGACATTCATGCCACGCTCAGTAGTGTGTAACACAACATTAAAACTCTCGCTGTAAGAGGGCGGGATGAGTATTTTTAAGCAGCTGTGTTGACCTCATGCCCTCAAAGGAGGCTCTTACAAAAGGAAACATAAAAGGCACACTGTGCAAGAAGAGAGAAAGCAATCCACACTGAGGAGCTCTCTCCCCTCCCAAAGCACTACAAGATTATATGGCTCCCAAGTATGCTCCATAGTGTGTCATTTAGAAAATGGTGCATCTTGGCTGAATAGAAAGCTGCTGCGGCTTCCTAGCTTCCTTTCGCTGGACAAAAATAGGAAATTTAATTTTATCTTAATGGTTGCTTTTCTATATGAATAAACAATGCATCAAATGGCAGAGGAAGGAAGTGGCAAAGCCACCTCTGAGTATACTTTGTCTAAGAAAATCCTATGAAATAATAGAATCACCATAAAATTGGCAGGTAACCTGAACGCGCATACACACACACACACATACATATTTATTATCACGCATTTCTACCCCACCCTTCTCAACCCCCAAAGGGGGACTCAGGGCGGCATACATACATGCGTACATACATGCATAAACACCCACACACACACACACACACACACACACACACACACACAAAGGGAAGGAGATATTATGCAGGATGGCGTTTTAAAGGGCTATTACTAAACAAATCACCCATAGTGACATTTTCTGCCTTGAGAAAGTCTTTATGTATCACTTGTCCCAATGCTTCCTGTCACACAGTGTTTCCCCTACTACATAATGTGTAGAAAAGGATGTGCTAGATACCAATACAAACCACATAATATTTAGTTTCTTACTGGATTTATATCATGCCTTTCTCCCAAAAAGGGAATCCTATAAAGATTGCATGGTAAATAATGAAAATGCCAATTTATAAATCTAAGGAGAGTTTGGAATTAATCTCCTGGAGATGGGAAAACTATAAATAAATCAGCATAGTAAAGTGCTTACAGTGTTAGACTGGGACATGGAAGACACACATTCAAGTCCCCGCTGAAATTCATTGGGTATGACAAAACATTTTTGTCACTCTCAGGCTGAATGACCTCACATGATTGTTGTGAAATGAGACATAATCAAATATGCTACTTTGATTTCATTTGTAGCTCATGTAGGATATAAATGTTATTGAATTAGTAAATAAAAAGTACAAGGAGATACTTTTAAGCCCTCGTTGTAATCCCTCCTCTTCTTTCCTCCCCAAACTCTCTGATGTCAATCACTCTTCAAAGAAGAAAAAGGCTGACACTCTCAGATATCTCTGATCACAGATACTTAGATTTCTGTCTAACATATAACTTGGGTCTCTAATATGGTTCTTCCATTTTCTTGGTAGTCATTTCATGTTACCTTGATACTAAATATTTCTTTGACAGACGACACAATTAATGCCAAATTTAGGTGACTGGACAGGAAAAGATTGTCATTTTAGTCCCAATGGTGGAATCCAGGAGAGTAAGAGAACTCAATGTAGACTGGAAAGACCATGGAAATAAGACAAAGAACTATCAGGGCAAAATAGTGCAGAGCCTTAAGTGTAGAAGTGAATATCTAGTTTAGTCTTGTACTCTCTATCTCCCTCACTCTCTCATTACCCTTTCTCTCAGGCATACATACAGATGTAACAAATGTTCAATAAATTATGTGTCTATGAAAAAAACAGTATTGTTGAGAAAAGTTGCATCAAATCAAAAGTTTCCAACACAGGTTCAAGACATACAATATTATTTTTATCAAACAATTATCTGTAATCTATGCAGGCAAATGGGAAAAAGTACACAAAAACTTGAAAATCTTTCCAAATAGTCTAACAAATTATATGCAAGTGTTTTTGTAATTTGTGATGATTTCAGGCAGTTTGTATCACTGGTGTTGCAGTAAACTACTTAAAGTAAATATGCAGGAATGACTAAATGGGCTGTTTGCCTCAAATGCTAACGGGAAGAAAAGCAAAAATGTATAGTCTACATGCACACAAGGAGACACACACACATACAAACACGCATGCTCTAGAAACTTTATACGGGTGAAGAGATGTGCTTTCTAAAAGCATCAACAGGTAGGGTGTTTGCAATGAGTCAGAAATGCATGTCTCCACTACTCTTTCTCCTCTACATCCACTGGCCCCAGGTTGATAGAGAGAAGAAATGAGTCTGAAGTATTCTCCCTCAATCCCTCATTAAGCTATAAACCCATATTGTAGAAGTTTTTAAAATATACACTGTCATTAAATGAAGAAACAATATATCCCAATCACAGAGATAAAATTGTTGTAAACACATTTGCTGGTGTTGTTGCTCCAGACTTACCTGGTATTCATTTGGCCAGAAGGTGCTGACAGCCAGTTCTGCCCGTAGCCAGTCTTTGCCAGTGGACCCTGTCACATTCCAAATGGGATTTGCCAGAGGGCCCTTGTTTACTCTGACCAAGATGTTCAGGGTTCCTGGGCTTGCCCTCTTCTTGCTGTACAAAAGGTAGCTGAAATCAATACAGTGAGTATCATTCTCTTTCATTGTAGGAAGCTGGAGCCGAGCCTTTTCTCCATGGCTATGGTGAGAAGCATCAACAATCATGTATGATCCTGCCAAGAGAAAGAAGAGGAAAGGTGAATTTGTGGATGCAAGTCAGCTCCTTCACAACCTACCCCTGCATAAAAAGTGCCCCAAAATATGAAAGAAGCCAATAAAAGCAACAAGTTGACCACTTCTGATCTTGATCTTGGAAATTGAATGGGGAAGGGTAGATACTGAAAAATGTTTTGTGTTGAAACTACTATGCTTGGAAGCTTCCAGGAGTAGTGGAATCTCTGTTTTGTAAAAGAAAAACAAAACTCCCATGCTGAAAGCATTAGGAGTGGGTTTTGTGAGGGCTGGAAAAACAGATTCGTGTCTCAAAAGCAAACGTTCCCCACCTCTTTTCTAAATACTCATGTTTACATTGGTTTACTTAAAATGTATGGTTGTATTCATAATTTCTGAGTGAAAAGATTCTGGAATCACTCTTGTAAATGTTTGCCAAGATACACAGGGATTCCATAGTTAATTCAGTGGTTGAGCAGGTAACATGCATGCAAAAGATTACAGATATACTCTTTATTATCTATGCAAATTAAGGGAAGAGAATTTATAGCCCTCCACATTTTACTGGACTCCCAATTCCTATCAACATAGCCAACAATGAGAACCAATGGGAGAAGCAATGCATCAGTCTTTGGATGGTCACATATTTCCCAGATTGGGAGGACATAGTGAACTGAAGGAACTATAGGCTTCATATACTCTCCATCAACTCCAGCTTTTCTCCCCTCTCAAAAGACATTAAACAATTGTGCCAACAGTCACCAGCTCATAAAAATGTGAAATATATTTTCCAACTTGACCTTCCACCCCTAGCAGTGCAAGCAGTTTACAGCATGATTAAAGAATGAAAATCAAAATCACAACAAAGAAATACCTATCACAAGGAAGACTACTGACTTTAAAAGATAATATCTGCCTCCCACATCAAATAGTTCATGCCTGGGAATGTTCAGAAGAGCAATCAACTCAGAAGGGGCAAGCTAGCAGTCAACAAAACCATGAGTATACTGCAAATAAATCTCGAGCCAACTATTGGTATTTTTAGATCATTTGAACTAGTCTACAGTAAAATATAGACTTCCAAAAATAAATAATAAACTTAAATCAGAATAATCTATCTCAGCCGAGGGGAAGCACAAAATGAGACCAGCCTTTTAAACATCCCAAGGCACCAATTCCACATAGTATTGAGTGTCATTTCTATAAAGCATTTATTGAAAGTCAGCCCCATAATTTTTACAGTCCCTGGCCAAATGATGATTCCACACTCCTGTCTTATGAAAACAATCTACCCTTTTTATTAAGCACGATACTTTAAAAATCACCCCAGGGTTGAACGTTAAAGGCACCAGGGTGTGTGCTTTTAAGAAAATTGTTTATCATATGTCACCAACACTTTAAACTTCAGAAACCATTTATCTACATTTATGAAGCTATTCTGCATGTCAACTAGCTTTCCAGAGAGGTTTATTAACTACTCTTGAAAACACACTTGAGCTAATGCAAGATAGATTGTCAAGTAGTTATTGCTCAATGAAAATAAAAAATAGATCAGTATGTGACAGAAAAATCAACATTTATTTTGTTTGTGTACAAACCTTTTAATTGCCTTTCCAATCAATTTAGCATGTAATGGGAAAGATAGAAGTGCTTGACAGATTAAAAAGTACCTTTTAAAAAAGTTTCATTACTCATACACAAACCTATTTCATCTTTGTTTCTAAATGATTCTATAACTCTATGAAATATACAAACAAAACAGCAAAGTTCAAGAGCCCAGTTAGATTTATATTTGATTAACCAGACAGTACCCACCGGAGTGATATGTTTCAGAAAACTTGGCTAGGCTGCATTGGCTGCTGCCCAATGTTATTTTTACAGCTTGTTTCTTAAATCCGGGAATAATTTTGCACCAGGATATTTACGTTCAGAAGTATTGGCACTTGCTGCCAGTGATGGATCAGAAATGACTTAATGTGCCACATTAGGAGTTTCTAAAATAATCACTAGAGGGTACATAAATCCATGTTTTACGGGTTTATAGCTGAAGAGCTTGCACAGACATTATCCCCTTGCCTACATACATCTGTGGTTGTACAAACTGCTTCACTAGACTGAAGCTTCCAAAAACTCACAGCCATTGTAACTCTTCTGAGTTCTGACACACCCTGATTTGAGTCACAAATGGTCAATCATGAAGAAACCAGGATTATTCCAGTGGGCTGCAAATTTCTGCCTCTACTTCTACAATGATTTGACCATAAGTATTCTTTGTCTGGAGTATTAAATATGCTAGAAAGCAATTTCAATACTTAGATTTAAAAGAAATCTCACACTCATAAATGCTTCTATTGTCAGTTTATTACTAGTTGGCAACTATATCTAGGGATGCTTTCAACAACTTTGGCTGCTACTCCATCAGTGTCCTTCTTCAAATAAAGCAGACTGGACCACAGTCACACATACATAAACCACATCCTGACAAGATTATTTGCCTCTGAAAAGCTTCCTGAAACTTCAACTGGTGAAAATATGACTAGGTAATTTCATACTTCTCCAATTTTGTTTCATCTACATATGCTTCCAGATTGTTTCTCATTGTAACTCAAAGCGTCTGTTCTTATATACAAAGCCCAAAGCATTTTGGGATCAGGACAGGTCAAAAATTATGCCTTTCAGACTACTTTCCTGCCCTGGGCAACCCAGCATATTTAATATTGATTTTCTCTCCTATATATTCTCCATTTTTTAAAATTACAAGCTGGGTTGCCATTTTCACTCTGGTGCTCAGGTGTCTTAACTTCACAGTACTGAACAAAGAAAGCCTTCTCAGTGGCTGCTCCCAGGCTGTGTAATTTCATTCCATTGGAGGTTAAATAGGCTCCCTCCCTCACTGCTGCCGTTCTGTTTAACTAGGCAGCCCCCTCATGCTAAAGTTAAAATAAATTGTGAAGCAGATGCATGTTTTGATGTGCATCTTACTTGAATTCTGTCTCATATGAGTCCCTTCCCAGTGAAAGCATTACATGATCCTTTAGTAATACGGCACCATACTCCACGTGAAATGTGTGCACAGTTATATATGTTCCTCCACCCTGCTTTTTGATGTTGACAATGACAATAAAGATTAACAAATCATTTCAAGCTAGATACAACATCATTAGCAACAACAACAAAAAATCAGTTTCTGGAGACAGCAGACTGAAGATAAACTGTGTGCTGTGTTGGAATAAAAAGGAGGGAGCTCAAGCTTTATTGACCCTTATTTCTGACTTATGGCTATCACAGGGCTTTACTGGCAAGATTTGTTCAGAAAAAGTTCGCCATTGCCTTCCTCTGAGGCTGAGAGAATGTGACTTGTCCAAGGTCACCCAGTGGGTTTCCATATCTGAGTGGGAATTCAAACCCTGTTATCTAGAGTTATAGTCCAATGCTGAAACTCCTAAAACACATTGGTGCACTCTCTCTTTTGTTCCCACTTTTTTTTTGGGGGGGGGGGGCGACCACTGTGAAAACATGGTAAGATAAATAAGCAAGTACCAAGTCTGCCTATTATGGCATCACCATTGCTAGTTTCTGCCATTTGACTGTGCACTGGCGTCTTCATCCACTGGGAAGTATTTTATATTGTTGCACTGCCAAGAAAAACCTATATTATGGCTTCTTCTAAAGCAGCAAGAACATCTTTCAGGCAGGTGTATTTTCAACAGTATACAGAGCCATCAGTTTCCACATCTCTGGCTAGCATTGGTTCAGATTGTATGGTGCATCACTTTCCTCAGAAGACTATTTCCAACAGAACTTTTCTCTCTTTTTTCCTGGAAGCACATTATTTTCCCCAATGTGTTGTTCTTTCAAAGAAGTGTCTATGGTGCTCATATTTTACTACAGAAAAGCAAACCCCAGAGTCTTAAGGGGGTTTCTTAACTTCATTGTTCCTTATGTAAGGATAATTCCAATAAAGTTAGTTGTGTAAGAGAGTATAAGAGAACAGAATAAAAATGATTTGCCAATGGTGTATGATATGCTCAAGGGAAATTAGAAAAGGTCTAGGACACAAAGCTGTAAATTCCAGCAAATGACACTGTTCTACTGAAAGAAATAAAAACACATTTACATTTGTCAGCACTGGTTGTATTTATAATATCCTAAATTACTGGATTTAGGTATTGACATATGCAAACAGTTCAATCTGCCTTAACATTCCAGTACTGTGTTTATGGAAAACAAGTGGATTAAAATATTTGTATTGTGCCTATTATACAATCTCAATTTAACGTAACACTTTTTGTAGCTTGTTGAAAACTGTTGTCTACTGAATTCTTGAAAACACCTGCCTCTGAACAAAGTCTATTGTTTTAGACCAAATGAAAGAAGCCAGATTTGCCTCAAAACATTTTCCTCAACACCACATGCAGAGGTTTCGAGACTACAATTATATCTTCCTATAGTAGTGCATTAATGCCATCCAAATAAAATTGTACACATCTGTACTGCTCAAATCAAAGAACTACATCCTGTTATATTGGCCAGGTTCATAAGTAAACCAGACATTTGCTTACATATGGTCCTACAGATGATGTTTCACAGCTGTTCCCATCCTTCTTATCTTGGGAAGGGCTGATGGGTGTTGCAGTTAAAATCATCTGGAAGAGTACACCTCTCCTACCACAATTTAATCAAGCTTGAAAAGAAATGTACACTTCAATTCCTAGGACCTTCTGAGAATTCCAACAAGTTCCAAATTTAGCACAACACTATAAAGATACTTTGTGACTAAATATATGCAGAGGTCTAGGGACTTACCTCCTTACCAGTGGTTACAAACATTTGATCCTATTTTGGACTTCAGTTCCCAAAATTCCTGAAAGCTGACTGGAGCTTCAGGAAGTTGAAGTCCAAAACACCTGAAGGCTCTAAATCTGTGGTTGAAAACATGTGGCCTTCCAGATGTTCTTGGGCTTTAGCTCACATCAGCCTTAGCCAGTACTATTAGCAGTGA